TAAAAAACCCCGCAACTTCGCTGTGGATGGAAGTCTATTTTTAGAATTCCTGGTTTTCTCTTGGCGTCACCCATATCGAAAGTTCATTATGACGAGAGTGAGTTGTATTATTAATGTTTAAAAATAAACTAGGTACCTTGAAAAAGGTATTGAATATTCTATACTCATTATTGATTAAATTGAAAAAACGGATAATTTTATTATTGAAATACAAAGAATTATTAAATATATAAATAAAAATAGACCTTATTAAACTAAAAATAAAATAAGCCAAAATAAAATAAAACAATTTAATTAATAGCATAGTGATAGTAACTACACAATTTATAAAAAGAAATAATAATCAAAAGTTATTGTAAATCCAATTTTAAACCCACTGATTAGGGGGTGTTGGGAAATTTGGAACACAATAATCAAGTGTATCCGAAAATTGAGGTTGCAAAGGTGATTGATAATCGTATGTATTGTCGGCAGAATAATTGCCTTGAAAGTTGTTATGTGCGTGAGCGTCTGGTACTCTGTTATTTATCTGGGAATACAAATTTGAATGGGGTCTAATATTCGATGTAGTATCATTCGGTGTAGTATCTAGGAATGGTAAAAAAAAAAGCAGTTTTTAATATTTTTATTTTTTTTAACATATCGATATTGGTGACTGTGGCTGAAGCAAAAATTACTGCATCTGACAGATAAATTTTAATTTCAACGGACATTTATTTTTTAGGTATGACAATTTTTCTCAAAAAATGCAATTATCGCAGTATATGAAGATCATGCCACTTGATATTTGTTTTAAAACAAATATCTTTTTAAAGAAATATAAAAGTATTGTAGTTTAAAACACTTGCCATCCTTAGTAATATAATCAGGATTGACGACGGAGGAGACGTCAGATGATTGTGCTGATGTCTCTTTCAAGTTTTTTAAAAGAACCATTTGTTCTAATAATGATAATATTATTTGAAAGCATTAAATTTTGGAAAGTATCAAACGTATACGTACGTAGAAATTGCTACGTACGTACGTACGTACGTATGTACGTACGCATACAATAATTATGGTTAAATTTGTCAAACAACATGGTCAGTTACATCGTTCAAACCGACAAAATTTGACCAGAATTATAGAATGATGGGTCTTTAGACTAAATACGGTAAAAAAATCCTTACCTTGCGTAATTTCGACTAGTGCATATTTTTTATCACCAACTTCAATAAATTCGCAGTTTTCAGGTTTGAAAATAGATATAATAGTATTTTTTTTTGTAACTCTATTCAACTTTGGGCCACGTTTTTTTTTATTATGGGAATAGGTACATGCCAAACTCTTATCATTGCATCTATTACAAATCTGTGAAAAATTCGGCTCACATTTTCTTTTTGCCTTTACACATTCATCGCAAGCATTTGCCGTGTTTTTCCTTGTTTCTTGTTGATTCATGTTATGTTGACTTTGAATTACATTGTGACTTTAAATATTATGTCTTGCGGGAAAATGAATTCTTCCACTTTTTACTAAGCATGAAAGCATCTCCGAAAATTGGCCTGTGCAACATATGATGTATGCACACATATTAAGTTTAGACAAATACAGGGATATAATGGATTGTTTATCAATATCTTTAGTATAATTTGCATATGATAAAATGTCAAAGGACTTCGTGTTACAAATAAAAGGATATATTATTATAAAGTAGTAACGCCGAATGATTCTTAGATTTCTCTTCAGTAAATTAACTCCTATTGGTAGTCCGGCAAAATGCGAAGGCTGTACAATTTACGTACTGAAGTTGCATTGGGCAAGCGAAAAACATAACACTCTGTCTTTTATGTCTTTTGTGTAACAGTAATACACTGTGTAAAGCTGTAAAGCAGTGGTTCCATCGTACAGACGTACGCATTTTCTCAAATAATAATCATAATAGAATATATGTACGTACGTACGTACTTAAAATTAATTTTAATCATTTTTATTTAAAAGCTGAAAGAAGATTGCCTTAATAAAATTTTGAGTTAACCACAACTTTGTCCATTATGTTTGTTGAGGTTTAGCGTTAGGTGAGTTCTAATACGGCTCTTGTTTAAGGGATTGATGTTATATGATTACGTACTTATCCGAAAAATTACCGGCTAATCCGCGGATAATTTTTAATAAAAGTACATATGTTTGCGTCATTTTTAAATTCCTTCTAATCTTTAATGCCAATCATGAGCTTGCCTGATAAACTGATAGTGATAATAATTATGATTAAATTAGATATTAGCGATGGTTAAAAAAGTAGTTGTTTTACTGAAATGTATTTTTTTGTAATACATATGATTCCTTGGATCGTATATTTTTTGACCAAATGCTTGAAACTAAGAGAAATAATTAGAATTTTGAAGGATTAAAATATTCCAAGGTCGTAATATTAAAAATTCATAGTTCATAATACTGTATTTAAAAACATTTATCACAAAATATTTAGCTCATAATAGTTATATTCATAAAAAATTTTTTATACTCAAGATGGCATGGGTATGCAAGCAAAATTTTTAAATTGTATTTATACATTTTGCATCTGTATGTAATTTTAACAAGTTCACATGTATGCATTTATTTAATCTAAGTTTAATTGCATTGCGTTTATGAAATGACTCCATTTTATAATCAATTGACTGATAATACATTTTATCTTTATTTTTTTAAAATCTATACTAATTGCAAAACGACTTATTTCATAATTAAAATAACACATTTTAATAACACATTTCAATAACACATGGCAATTAATTAGCGACATAAATTGAGAAACGATGCAAACATACGTATGTGTATTATTGATTCCAAATGGTAATATAAATGAAGTCTAGTACCA